CTTGTACAGAACAGCTTTTGAAAGTTTTGACTGACTTAGATGTTCAGCACTCTTTCTCTAGGTGGGAATAATTTCTGGTGATTAACATTTGCCAAATGAAGTAGTCAGATGAATTAGAGCTAACTCAGACTATCTCCAATGTGAGTGACTTTTTTTTTTCTCCTGATAAGATGAGTTATGGTTTTTATATCTTTGGCCTAAAAACCTTTGGTCATTCTTACTTACTATAATCAGATATTTATCTAAAATGATATAAAAATCAATTTTCAGATTGACATTGAGGTCAGGCTTGTGTAATCTTTTTTTAAACTCCTCTGGATTTAGCCCGCCTTTTGTGAATAAAGTTCAATAAAATAATTCTTTAAAAAACATAAGATCTTAAGGATTCTGGCAAGGATTATTATTTAAGAGAACTGTAAAGGACAAGTAACCTTTCGGTAAGATGTATAAACAGATGTATGAGGAGTTAAAAAATGTTGAAGCAAAGTTAGAATCAGGAAATTAGTGTTCTGCCTTTGTGTTTTAAAAAAGTCATGTGGAGACAAACTTGATTATTTTTTTCTTTTTTTGATAAAGCAAGAATATAGGTTAAATTAGTGTGAGATAAATAATTAGTGCCAATGTGGTTTCTAAATGTTTTCTGTAGTATTTTGGTGAGCCTACTTTGTTTTTCTTCCACAGTACCCCGAGATTTTCCTTACGAGGAGGACTCAAGGCCACGATCACAGTCTTCCAAAGCTGCTATTCCTCCCCCAGTGTACGAGGAGCAGGACAGACCACGGTCTCCAACTGGGCCCAGCAATTCCTTCCTGGCTAACATGGGGTAATGACTTCAAGTGTGCTTATCTAAGACACCATCAGAAGTCCTTGGAAACAGTATAAGGTGTTGCTAGCTCTTTCAGTAGATGTCTGGCAGTTTATTTGAAAATGAGGACATTCAGGTTTTTAGGGAGATACTTGGTATGTTTAGTCACACAGTGCCTTTTTCAAGAATGAGTGCTGGAACCAGTAGTTACTGGAGTAATGGCCATGTCACTGGACTCCCATGTAGTTGACCGCAGTTCAAGTCCTGGACCCAGCCGGGTGCATGTGTGTGCATGCCCAAGATCCTGAGAGGAGAATGGAGAAGGGATTGCAGAGTGGCCATTCCCCCTGGGGGGTGATTTCTCCCTTTCTGGCTCTCTGTCTCCCTCTGTCTTTCCGGTGAGTGCACGTGCCTTATAACAAAAACCGCATCCCCCCCACCCCC